GCGCGGACGCACCCACAGCTGCAGCAAACTCAGACAAAAGAAGCCGCCCACCCCGTACCGCGCCGTTGTAGTTGGCGGCGCCGCGCTTCAAGACAACACTCCCACACGCAGCGCACTGCCTTCGCAAGGAAAGGGAGTGAGTCACAGCGCACACTATTCCTTTGTCGTTGTCTCGGCCTCTTCATAGCCACCAGAAGGCATCCTCCACGTGCACTGCAATAAATATATGTCCTGTACGTGTGTGCCTGCAGATACAAAAATAAAAAAGAGGAAAGGGGATCAAAGCGTGTGAGGACGCACATACACACACAGAAGAGGTGCAGGACGCAAAGATGGAAAAACTCGATGACTAAGACTCAAAATGGCACCGCAGCCCGCGCAGTGGCAACACACAAGAAATATGATTTACCAAAAACAAAAACAAAAATACTCCTCAGGACGGTTTCACAGAAAAAAAAAAATGTCGTGGAATGCCCCCGTAAAATCCCCGCGAATCCATTCACATTTTGGCCGCATATAAAAATGAATTACATATTTGCTTCAATTACCGAAAGCTCCCGGTGTCCAGACACCGTTTGACTTCCACAGGGAACCGCAGTGCGTTGCTGTGGCTCTCATTCCTTTCTTATTTCTTTCCTTTTACTCTCAGCAGACACACAATGCCGAGAACGTCTGCAGTCGCCCAAGAAAAGCGGTTAGTTGTTGTTGTTTTTTCGTGTCTTTTCAAACGAATTCGATGGCCTGCGCGTCAGCCGGCACCGTGGCACACGTCCGCCCCCACCAAAAAACAGGACGTAAAAGAGAGAGCCCCGCTCCCTCCCGCGGCGACCGCAGTGCGGGGGCGCAGTGAAGCATCTCATACTGCCGGGTAAACACGCAGGCGCAACGCAGTCGTCAAGAACGAACCGACAAAAAAAACACATCCGTAAAGCAGTAAACCAACAAAACACTGAACGAACAAATACACACAGAAAAAACGCTGACTGGCCTTCAGTCATTGCTAGAAGCGAACAATATAACAAACAAAAAAAGAACAGAATGGAATGGAATAAATGAAGACACTGCGGTGCTGGCGCCGAGAGGAGTGCGCAATTTGTGGGCCAAAGAAAAAGAAAAAAAAAAGAAACGTCGTGCGTAAAAAAAAACACACACACAAAATGCGTGACCACATGAGACTTTATTTAGTTTAAAAAGTGAGTGGAGAAACGGAGATGCTCTCAGTAGAAGCGCAAACTCCCCTCCACCGGGGTCTACTCAGCACAGGGCCACAAAGCCCCATAGCCCCAATAGCAGCAGAAACAGCCGAGACACACACCCACGCACCGTGCCGTCACCCCTTCCTGAATCGGGCCTCACACGTGTAAGGTTGCCGAAAGCAACGGAGCTGTCACCAGAAAGAGAAATGCTGGATGCGTCCTTCGCAAGACTCGCGCTAGTATTTTTGGATCCACCGCCAGCCATGCTGCCGTCGTCGGATCCATCAGCCAGGCGCACCTTTGGCGATGACGAAGCTGGCGAAGACCCAGGCTCCTCAGCAGCACTGTGATTGCCTTTATGGGCCTCCTCTGGTAGAGGTCCTTTAGGATTCAAACCGTCACCAACCCTCTTTTCTCCAGGTTTCAGCTTGGAGGCAATCTCCTCATCATTTCCCAGCGTTGTGAGTGGCCCCTCAGCAGCCGGTGTTGGAAGTGTGACTTTGCTGACACTGAGGCTCGTGAGCCTATCAGCACGAAGTGCCTCGTTGTACAACAGGACACTGCCCACCGTCACGTCAGCCTCGCCTGTCCCCTTCGCACCGTCGCCGCCAACGTAGAAGTCCGAGACACTGCGTGAGGTGTACGCACGGGGCGGAAGTTCCTCCTGAATAAGCATATTCTCGTCAACGTACACAAAAAACTCATCCGAAACCCTTCGCAGTATCACTTGATACGTTGTGCCAGGCTGCCACGTACCATCTTCATCTGACAACCCCCGAGACTTTCCGTTGACAGTCAATCCCCACTTATTGTGCTTCGTGTAGAAGAGACCAACGAGCACAGTGCTGGCATTGTCATTCATCCTCACACCCATCAAAGGAACAG